TATGTATGTATATCTGTGTATATATATATATATATATATATTTGTTCACATGCATGCACGCACACACACACACACACCTGCACACATGCACGCACAATATGTGCGTATGTACACACACACATTTTTATTTATACAGGTATGTATATCTATGTTTATATATACATATATATATATATACATATGTATATCCACAGATGTATGCGCAGGTATGTGTGTCTACATGTATGCACATGTGTATGTATGGATGTATGAGCGTACGTAGCATGCATGTAAGCATGTAAGCACGCATACATGTTACGAAGCCTTCGCCACCAGCGTTGTCAGCACCATTCCAGCCTCCAGCCCAGCATCAGCACCGCCACCGCATTCAGCAGAACAATCAGCACTGACACCACCAGCACCAGCGATATTACGAAAACAGCACCATTATGAGCATCATCACCACCAGCGCCGCCATCTCCGGCAGCAGTATAATCTCGATCATTATCTTAATCCCCATCCTGCTTTGCTTCCTCCTCCTCGTCGCCCTCCTCCTCCTCCTCCTCCGCCTTCCCATCACCACCATCATCATGGTCATCATCGTCATCGACATGAGCAGCATCATTGTCATCATCGTCGAGGTTATCTGCAGAACCATCCTCATCTTTCCAATGCAGGAGCCAACAGTTCCAGGGCTCACCTTCATCCTCAGTACCTGTTCAATAAACAATATCATATACACATGGGATAGACATGCGCATGGGCAGATCGGAAGATGTTTCGGATGGCTCGTGGGGTACACCCTGTTCAGGTGGGTCCTCGCGAAGGAACGAGCCGTCAGCTTAGCCTTGCAAGGAGACACCGCACACCGCACTTGTACTGTCAAGGTCTAGGACTAGCTTGCTGCATGGTGCGTGAAGTTTATAATAGGAAGTGTAGGGCAGGTTTCCCTGGAAGTAGCATCGTCGAGAGTCTGTAGTGGGATGGGATCTGAAGATTGGCAGCATGGCAATTTTGTAGAGTTGTTTCGCCTTTGCTGACCAGGAACGTAAAGCAGAATAACAGTCCCCGCTTTGCGATCATAGCAGGGCATAGTCCCCCAGCAAGACCAGCTGACCAGCAACCGTTGAGGACTGACACGGGGCAGTAGCAACTGCCGAGACCGTTATAAGAGAGTCGTCGTAGCCTCGTTTGCCGCAGCGCCCGTCATTGGACATGTGGCCGAGGTCTCCTTCCATGCGGCCCGAGTCTCCGATGCGGTCAGGCTGGCCTCGCCCATCACCTTGCATGGAGCCTGTAGCAGAAGTTTGTGAAACAGCTTCAAGCCCGCGACATGTCTGTAATGTAGTTATCCGCGTAATCACTGAGAGATTCATTAGAATTAGAGGTCTTCTTTAACATCCAGGGCCTCCTGAGAGTTCGTCATGATCGGCATAGTATTCTAAACCCTAAATTCTGCCTGTGGGAGCGTGCGGGTCGAAACCCGAAGTTCTGAATTCTAAACCATGAACCTTCCTTGGCTCAAGCACAATCCGGTCGCACAGCTTTCCTCGAGGAAACCTTCAGAGCCAGAAGAAGGCATGGCATACTCTCGGGTGCTGCTGGCGCTCATCGGAGGCTTCCTGCCTTCGGCGGCAGCTGATATGGCCTCGACCTGCAATGTGAGCCTGGCCTGCATCGACGACAGCAACGTGGCGGAGTGTGAGCGGATGTACACGGCTTGCGGCGACCAGATGGTGTTCATGGAGTCTTGTCCGCTCCAGTTTGCCTGCCCACCGTGCCCCTGCGGCGAGGCCTGCACTTTCGGGGACAATGCAACTGGAGGTCTCTGCGATGTCGATGGCATCACCTGTGTACCGCCTGCTCCGGGCAACACGGCGCCAAACTGCAGCGCAACGACCACCACAGAGCAAGGCCCTCTGGGAGACTCAGGAGCGATGCCGCAGGCTGCCTCGGGGGTGCTCGCAGCGCTGGTTTCGTGGTCTCTCCTCTAGGGGAGCCCCCTTGCACTGAAGGAACTAAGTGGGGTTTAAGGTTTGGGGTCGTAGAGGTTGTTACAAACAAGGGAACAATACTAATCGCCAGGGGTCTTTGATGACAGCTCGGGGAGCTCCGCTGGTCCTCTTGGACACTACGCTACGAGGGCCGAACGTTACGACCACGAGCACGAGCTGCGGTAGGGTGCAGGGTTTGTTGGGGCGTTTAGGGTTTAGAGTTTAGAAGTTTAACCTACAAAACCGGCAGCCGACTGCAACAGACAAGTCGGCCGCCCCACTTTCTTTGTTTGGTCACAACGATTTAGAGGCAGGGGCCAAAAAGCAGATGCAGAATGTAACAGAAATACATAGATATTAATTACGAGGTATTTTGTCTTGTATCAGTATAGGGATACGACCTCAACATGTTGTTTTTAGGTGTATTTTGGGTCTCCAAGAAATGTTTGCAGAAGGACCGACCCGAATCATTAGTCCCACATGCGGGCTTGTCAACAATTAGAGGGATTTTGTATGGTGCTTATGAATTTTAGGGGGTAGGGTTTGGATTTTGATAGATTTTTGGAGCGGGGCTTTTTTTTTCATTGGTCCTTCTGCTGAGATCGCTCCATGTATCTCAGGCTTTTGAGCTCTCTGGCCGTCAGAGTTAGAGGCATGAAAGACACGAGAACTTGCAGCTACCCACTTGCTGAAAGCATGCAGCCGTAGATCGGCCGCTCTCATTCGGCTAGACCTTTGCTGGGTGTGCTGCGCCCCGAAAAAAAGCAGCAATGTTGTCTGCTGACGACTCAGCTTCGATTACTGTTTTTGGTTTGTTCGGCTGAGTTGTTGACTTGTGTGACGGGACTATATGGAGCCTTGCCTGCTTTGTGCGAGAGTGAGAGTCGAAACCTTCCCAGCACAAATCCCGGCTCGGCTTTGCTGCGTTAAGAGCCCTGACGAGGCAAAGAGCGCGGCTCCTCGCCTGGACCGAGCCAAGAGCTTGGCAGTTCTAGGGCCGCTTCCAAACACACACTGATAAGCACACTCTTCTTCTCTCTTTTTATAGTTTTCACTCCCTCTCTATACACATATGGCAATTATACATATACATACAAAAAGAGCTACATGAGACAGAGGGAGAGAGAGAGAGAG